CCAGGGGTGGTAGGGATGGGGGGGATAGAGAGGTAACAGGTAAAGGGTGTGGGTTTCTTCCTGAGGGGATGAAAGTGTCTAAAATCGATTGTGGTGATGGTGGTACAAGCCTGTGAATATAAGAAATGCCATTAAATTGTACATTTTATGTGAACTGTATAGTATGTGACTTACATCTCAATAAAGTTATTACAAAGGGAGAGAATGACTGTGTGGTATTGATGGAGGGAGAGAGACATAGGTCAGTGGAAGAGAATAGAGAACCCAGAAATAGACCCACACAAATATGCCCAACTGTTTTTTGACAAAGATATAAAAGTAATTCAATTGTGGAAAGATAGCCTTTCCAACAAATGGTCCTGGAGCAACTGGACTCCCAGCAGCAAGAAAAGGAACCTTGTTCTATGATCGACACTCTATACAAAAATTAACTCAAAATGGATTACAGACTTAAATGTATAACCTATAATTACAAAACTTTTAGGAATAAACTCTAGGTAAAAAACTTCAGGATCTGAGTTTGGCAAAGAGGTCTTAGACTTGACACTGAAAACTAAATCTATAAAAGGAAAAACTGATCAATTAGACTCCATCAAAATGAAAAACTTTTGTTCCGCCAAAGACCTGTTATTAAGAGGACAGAAAAGAACTACAGAGGAAGTATATGTAAACCACATATATTCAACAAAGGAATAATAGTTAGAATTTATTAAGTGCTCTCAAAATTCAACAGTAAAACAATCCTATATAATAAAAGCCTAACATGCTAAGTGTCAGGTCATCCAGTCGGTCGTTCAACCAATCAAAGGGTAATATGCTAATGATATGCTAAGGCTGCTCAACCGCTTGCTATGATGTGCACTGACCACCAGGGGGCAGACGCTCCGACTGGTAGGTTAGCTTGCTGCTGGGGTCCAGCTGATCAGGACTGAGCAAGGTGGGTTGGACACACCCTGGAGGCCTCCCAAGGTCCCTCCCCAGCTGGCCACCCTCCCGCATCCCTCCCTGGCCCTGATCATGCACCGGTGGGGTCCCTTGGCCTGGCCTGCACCCTCTTGCAATCTGGGACCCTTCAAGGGATGTTGGAGAGCCGGTTTTGGCCCGATACTGCAGGCCAGGCCAAGGGACCCCACTGGTGCACGAATTTATGCACTGGGGCTCTAGTCCAATTAGAAAATGGGAAAAAGATATGAAAACAAGATACACAGATGGCAAATAACCACATGAAGAGATGCTCAACATCACTAGCCTTGAGGGAAATGCAAATTGAAACCACAATGAAACACCATTACACACTTATCAGAATAATTAAAATAAAAAATAGTGACAGTGCCAAATGTTGATGAGGATGCAGATAAACTACATTACTTACACATTGCTGGTGGGGATGTAAATTGGTACAAGCAGCCACTCTTGAAAACAATTTGGCACTTTCTTAAAGAAACTAAACATGCAACTTCCATATGACACAGCAATTGCACTCCTGGGCATTTATACCAGAGAAATAAAGACTTGTGATCAGACAATAACCTATATAGGAATATTTATAGGAGCTTTATCATTGCAGCTAAAAACTGGAAACAACCAATACCTTCATTGGATGAATGGCTAACCAGGAGGTCAGGGCACATGTCCGGGTTGCAGGCTCAATCCCCACTGGGGGACGTGCAGGAGGCAGCTGATCAATGATTCTCTCTCATCATTGATGTTTCTCTCCCTCTCCCTTCCTCTCTGAAATTAATAATATATATATATATAAAATTATTAAAGGGGGAAGTGCCCACAAAAATAGGGGGTGGGGGGAAAAGGAGGGAGATGTCAAATATTATGCCGGGTCAGAAATTCCCTTGGATTCTGTGGATTTAATAACTGGGTGCCATGGCTGCTCTACTAGAGTTTGTCCTCTACTAATTAACCTCAGTTTCCATTTAATTCACTGAGTTTTTCTAAGAATTTAATTAATAGACGTGGCAATGCCCCGCATAGCTCCCGGTACAAAGTAGGCACCCACCGAACCTGATCACCGGGGTTTCTCTAGGGAGGAGATGGTAGTGTAGGTCTGATGGATACCAGGGATCCTTAAGTACCACTCACTGCTCAGCATCCACTTTCCACGGGAGAGGTCTTGTCAGGGCTAAGTACATGTTCAGTGCTCCATGCATGAGAGCTGTTACTTCTATTGCTGTTGTCACTGCAGCCACCCTGCAAGCAGCGGGAAGCCTGGTGTTGGAAGGTGGGAGGCTGGGTGTCTCTGCTGCTCTGGGTGGGGAACTTGTACCGGCGATAAATACGATTGACCACCGGGGGATGCCTACTGTGGCTCAGATGCTCCTTCACTTGAGGAACTGATTCAAATGGCAGACCTGTCTCCGTGTCAACTGTGTCATCCAGCAACAATAGGATTTTGCCCTTGCTGGTTCGGCTCAGTGGATAGAGTGCGGGCCTGGGGACTGAGGGGTCTTGGGTTCAATTCCGGTCAAGGGCACATACCTCCAGCCAGGGATGGAGGCCACCACTCGATGTGTCTCTCTCACATCGATGTTTCTCTGTCTATCTCTGTCCCCCTCCCTTCCACTCTCTCTCTAAAAATCAATGGAAAATGTCCTCTGGTGAGGATTAACGACAACAAAATATCAGAAACAACAGTGTCTTCAGTCATGAGTGGAAACGTGAAGCCCTGGGTGAGGCAGTGCCAGATACTCACCAGGAAGGTGACCTGCCAGCACTTGACTCTGCTCATCGGGAAGACGACATGCTGGGTCTGGCTGCCAGGCAGGGTGACGCAGCAGCTGATCTCGTTATTGCCCACGGAAAGCACAGCCCCGCAGCCCGGCTCCGGGTAGTCACAGGTACAAGGGTCCAGCTGCACGCAGCCATAGTGCCGCACCTCCCGGGACAGCTCCAGAAACTGCTCCAAAGGGAGGTGAGGGGAGGGAGGAGGAAGCAAAAGGCCACTTGAAACAGAGGCAAACCTTGTGTGAGAAGCAATGGCCATCCTAGCAGGACACATGCAAATGAGGAGCGTGAGGGTGTCTTTTTCTTTTGGACGATGGGGAGGAGGACAATGCCTTGTGTGATCGCTGGCAGCGAGGCCGGGGAAGGTCATGGTGCGTCCTGCCAGGGCAGGGACCACTTCTGCCTCGTCCACCATGTGTCCCTGCTCCCGTTACAGAGCTCAGGAATGGCAAGAATGAAAATATTCGATGCCTGAATGGTGAATGAGGAAGAGCAACTCGGCTGAGAAGACATAATTCTATCTCAGCAAGATAAGCAAACAGTGTAATTTAAAATATCGTCTTTTTGAGGGAGGGCTAGAAGGGGTCAAGGGGGGGCGGGCAGAGAAAGGGATACATGTAATACTTTCAACAATAAAGACTTAGCCCCACTGGTGTGGCTCAGCGGTTGAGCATCAATCCAGGAACCAAGAGGTCACTAGTTTGATTCCCAGTCAGGGCACATGCCTGGGTTTCAGGTTCAATCCCCAGTAGGGGGCGTGCAGGAGGCAGCTGATCGATGTTTCTCTCTCATCAATGTTTCTATCTCTTTGGCCCTCTCCCTCCCTCTCTCTAAAAAATCAATAAAAAAAATATATTTTTTAAATGTTGAGGGTCTGTATAAATTAACTTGATAAAGGACTCACAGTATATTGTCTGTATTTTTCAAAATCTTTAAACAAAAAGCCTTTCTTAATTTTATAATCAGAAAAATCAATAAAAGTGTTCTCATTTTGTAAGGCTGTCTTCAGTGCTTGGTGGGCTTATAAATTCTAGAAACAGCCCCGGTCCGCTAGGTTTCTTTAAGTCCCTCCAAGGGGATGTCTTTTGGTGCAGCATTTGGTTCACCTTTGTTTGGTTGCCTTCTTCCTGGAGAGCCTCTAGTTTCTGCCTCTGTGCCTGTGTGGGTTTGGCCCATCCTCCCTGAATGTCCTGGATGGCCTTAGAACAACACAAATTGCAAAATTAGCAAACTTAGAAGAAATGAATTCATCTGACAAAAACATACTCCTGTATGAAAGGCTAGAAAAACAGACCCAACTATACCCAGTATGTTTTAAAAGGTTACTTTTTAAATTAGTAGAAAGAGATTGTTGGGTGGTTTGGGGACAACTGGGAACACTTGGAAAAGAAAGTAAAGTTAGCTCTTGCCCCACACCCCCCATTCAAATAAATCCAGTGTAAAGATCTAAGTGTTAAAACCACAAAAGAATCAGAAAAAAAAAATAAAGGTGAATATTTTCTATCTGATCTTGAGGTAGGGATAGCTTTTTAAGATACAAAGACAAAATGTCATAATGAAGGAATATATCATACGTGAAAATATAAAAGTTCTGCCTATAAAAACCACCTAAAACAAAACCAACAAGTAAATGTCAAACCAGGGAAAGTGAGTGCCCTATATGAGGCAAAGAGTTAATATTATATGTCAAACCAGGAAAAGTGAGTGCACTATATGAGGCAGAGTGTTAATATTATTTATAGAAAGCTATAGAACAATGTAAACCTCCTTAGTAGGAAAATGGACAGAAGATATAGCAATTGACAGAAGGAATTTATATATATATATTTCTCTAGGGAGGAGATGGCAGTGTAGGTCTGATGGAGGTAGAATTCTTATCTACAATTTTTTTTTCTAACGGTTTAAACCCAAGTGGCCTATAATACGTGGTGTTCTGATGGTGCCTGGTTACCCTCACCTGCATGTAGATCAGATTCACAGCTGCTCTGCAGTCCATCAGCATGGAGTCGAGGGATGGGTCCAAGTACCTGCACGATTCAGGAGCATTATGTTAATTCACAGGACACGGTTCACAGGCTCCCCTGGGCGCCTGCGTGCTCTCCGGAGCAATGGCCCTCTTCCTTCTGAACTAAGACCCCTTTCCTGACGAAGCCCCACCCCTGACTTGCCTAGCTTTTCGTTTGTCCCTCCACCTCTTCTGTTCCCTATTTTCTTTATCCTGTAAGCTCTTGCCTGGTGGGCACTGAGAGCGAAGGTGCAAAAATATAAAACTTCAGGGGAATGGCCCACGTCCCTGTTCACACACAGCCCCACTGCGGGTCGCCAAGTCCTGCCTGAGTGGTCTCCACCCTCAATACCCGGC